GCTGAGGTCGAAGAGGTTGCTGCCTGTGTTCTCCTTTAGGATTTTGATGGACTCCTGTTTCACGTTTAGGTCTTTCAACCATTTGGAGTCTATTTTTCATATTTATTTTTCTTAACATGGAAGTTTTTTTGAGAGTAAAGGGTATGTTTTATTGATCTTTATTCTATCCCATTGTTTGATCCAGAGTAGTGCCTTTTACTTAGCAGCTACTTAGTAAATGTTGAATTGCATTGCTATTTTTTATGAAGACCAACCTTGAGTCAGGATTTAAACTTAAAGTCTTAAACTCATAAGTTAATTTCCCTTTTAGGACACTACTTTGAATATGAGTTCAAAGGAGATTTTTTTGGTAGATATTTTGAATTTTTGAAGTATAGTAATCCCTTAAAACTTACTCTTTTTAAATATTGGATTTTTAATCAAGGTTGATATCAAAAGATATTTTTTGTATTAATTTTTTTTAAATTTAAATTCAAATTGGTTAACATATAGTGTAGTATTGGTTTCAGGAGTAGAATTTAGTGATTTATTACTTACATATAACCCCCAGTGCTCATCCTAGCAAGTACCCTCTTTAACGCCCATCACCCATTTGCCCATCCCCTCACCTACCTCCCCTCCAGCAATCCTCAGTTTGTTTTCTATATTTAAGATTCTTTTATGGTTTGCCTCCCTCTCTGTTTTTTTTTCTTTTTTTTAAAGATTTTATTTATTTATTTGACAGAGAGAGACACAGAGAGAGAGGGAACACAAGCAGGGGGAGTGGGAGAGGGAGAAACAGGCTTCGCAGTGAACAGGGAGCCTGATGCGGGGCTGGATCCTAGGACCCTGGGATCATGACCTGAGCTGAAGGCAGATGCTTAACGACTCAGCCACCCAGGCGCCCCTCCCTCTCTGTTTTTGTCTTATTCTATTTTATACCTGAAGCAAAATCACTTCTCTGTGCAAAACAGACCAAAGATATTTCTTTTATTTACAATAATGATAGTTTCCAAATTCTGTGTAGAATGTGGTTGAAAATAATATATTTGAATAATTTTATTTTTAAAAAGGAATCTTCAATGTTATTTTAAATTTCTTTTAAAGATATTTATTTATTTGAGAGAGAGTGAGCAAGTGAGCAAGTGGGGGGAGAGGCAGAGGGAGAGAATCTCAAGCACACTCCCCACTGAGCGTAGAGCCCTCTGTGGGGTTTGATCTCATGACCCATGAGATCATGAGCTGAGCTAAAACCAAGAGTCCGAAGCTTAACCAACTGAGCCACCCAGGCACCCCTCTTCAATGTTATTTTAAATTAGACTTCTCAAGATCAATCTAATGGACAATTTGTCCCATCATGTCAAAATTATAATAATAGAATTTTTGGAGCAGTCATACAAATTTGCCTCAATATTATCAAGTTTAGTTTTCTCAATTAGTGGAGAAGTGACTCTGGCCCTATTCTTAATAAATTAATCTGTGTTTAGGTGTAATTATTATAGTCATTAACATTTACTTAATATTAACCATACTTGTTTTTCGTAGATTAGATTAGATTTGAATGCAAAGAGGTATTATAAACTGGCTTTTTTTTTAATGGAGTTTTTGTTTGTATGCAAATCTGGTACTTATTGCTGATCTCATTAGATAATCATGCTGAACTGATTATGTCAATCTCAAGAATAAGCTTTATTATTTGTACGGTAACAAACCATAATTGTATTTGTCTATAAATTTGTCTTTTTGTTTACTTGAAAGAACATTGTTAAATGAAGATAAAAAAACTTCCTTTTCCTTCTTTCTTCTTTAGAATCAAGTTTCTTACTGGGAAATGCCCAGATTGTGGATTGGCCTGTAGTTTATAGTAATGACGGTTTTTGCAAACTCTCTGGGTATCATCGAGCTGACGTGATGCAGAAAAGCAGCACTTGCAGGTAGGTAATAGAACAGCTCAGGAATCTTTTCTGAAGTTTAAGTAAATGCTGAATGTGGTTAAACTTACAGTAGTCCCCCACTTGACCTCGGTTTTGCTTCCTTGTGATTTTTGCTTCCTGCAGTTTTGTTTCCTGTGGTTTCATGCTTCCAGTAGTTTATTACCCACAGTTTAAACTTCCAGGAGCAGATGCTCCTCCTTCTGTGCCTATATCATTCACCTCACTTCCTCTCATTTCCTATGAAATGCTATGCTATTTTCTCATGTCACATCTTCACAAGAAAGGTGAGTACAATACAAAAGATGCTTAGAGAAAGAGAGAGACCACACTCACAAAACTTTTATTACAGTATATTGTTGTAATTGTTATATTTTATTATTATTGTTGATCTCTTCCTGTGCATAATTAATAAATTAAACTTTATCATAGGTATGTATGTATAGGAAAAAGAACCCAGTTTATACAGTGTTATGTACTATCTGCGATTTCAGACATCCACAGTGGGGGGTCATGGAACGGATCCTCCCCAAATAAGGCGAAACTCCTGTGCTTAGACTCTCTGTGATATTGGGATTTATTTATAATAAGGAATATATATTTGGTCTTTGACACAGTTCCTGACACAGGTCCTTAAAACCCTTAGAATTTCCTGTGATAAGAACAATAAAGGTGCCTTTTATTATGTCAATGGTGACTTTTGGAAAGAGCTTAAGTAACCTCAGTATGGAGACTATTGCCAGGGGAACCATCCAGGTAATTGGAGGGTTGAAACATTCAGTACTCCAGCCCCTCAACCTCCCTACCTCTAGGTAAGGGCGGGGCTGGAGGTTGAATTAAGAATTAATCAGTCATGACTATGTAGTGAAGCCTCCATAAAAACACCAAAGGACAGGGTTCAGAGAGCTTCTGGGTTGGTGAGCATATGGAGGTACTGGGAGAGTGGAGCACGTGGGGACAGCATGGAACTCTGTGCCTTCCCCCCATACCTTGCCTGCGCATCTCTTTGATCTAGCTATGCCTGAGTTGTATCCTTTTATAATAAACTAGGGATCTAGTAAGTAAAATATTTCTCTGAGCTCTGTGTGCTGCCCTAGCAAATTAATCAAACCCAAGAAGATTGTGGAAACCTCCAATTTGTAGTTGGTAGGTCAGAAGTACAAGTAACAACTTGTGCTTTCAACTGGTGTCTGGAGTAGGGGGCGGGGCGTGGTCTTGTCAGACAGAACCCTTGACTTGTGGAATTATGCTAACTCCAGATAGATAGTGCCAGAATTCAGTTGAATTGTATGACAGCTGTGCCTGAACCAATGTGAGTTCGTTCCTTGGTGAGTCAGAAACTGCACCAGGTTGAATATCAGTCGCACAAACAAAACTTTATCTGCAGCAAATAAAGACATGAAGGAGAATGGCTTCCAAAGCCGTGAGTCCCCAGAGCGGGGGTGAATGGATTCCTTTTATTTAGGGTTAGAATGAATATTTAGATAGGGAAGACTTATCATCGAATGCAGAGGTGGGCATAAGGTCACGCAAAACATGCCTATACCCACACTGTATGTTATGTAAATGAGGCTTGTGCTCCTCCAAGGGCGGAGACTGTAGTATTATAATGAGGTAAAGGTAGTTGTCGGTCATCCAGAGGTCGCTCCGTGGTCCATCTGCGCAGGCGCGAGTTAGGGGTTAAGCTCAAACTGGTCCCTGTGCTGGGTCCACTGGAGGTCTTGTCAGCGCAGCCGCTTTTGCTTGGAGGGGCGGTTTCGCTTTCCATTTGCTTGAGTTAAGAGCTAAGCTGGAAAGAAGAGCTTAAGGAAAAATGTGGGAGAAAGGTCGGTGAGTACAAGCAGGTGGGCAGTAAAGGTCAGGTCTTGGGGTCTAGCTGGTGATACAACCAGCTGGTGTCCCAAGAATTGCTTGTTGGTGTGGAGACTGTCGTCCCCCTTTCCCCACCCCTCCCCCCATTGGTACCAGAATCTATTTACTCACATATAAAAACTGTAGAGTAAAAATTGTATTAGAATATTAAGGAGACTAAATTACCAATGGAAAAATATAGTTTAAGAGCCCTTGGGGGGAACTTGTGCAAAGAAAAAGCTTTTGCATATCTGTAAATCTGTTCATTCATTCAGTAAATATTTTTTGACTATCTGTGATGAGCCATAAACTATTCTAGGTGCTGAGTGATGAAAGGAGCATCCTCTATCAGAGAACCACTGATGGTATCAGTACTTCTTGAGCGGCTAAAACGGTCTTGAACAGAGTAAACATCCCCCAGCCAAGTAGGACATAATTCACGAACATTTAAAGAACATCAAAATGAAGTTTTTACATCCTGTGTAAATCACATGTACTTTGTAATGTTGGTACATTGTACCATTGCTATTTTGTTTGGCTTATGTAAAACAGAATCTGGCATTTAGATTATTTATAACAATTCTTTCTAAAATATGCCATATCTATGAGTTTAAAGAGAGTATTATGAAAAAAGATCATATAAAAGAAAAGGAAATTCTATAAAGGAACCAATTTAGATCTGAAAACTTTTTCACAATATTTCAGTAAGGCCAGATGGGAAGTTTTTTCTTTGAGTTAATTTTTCTTCAAAGCTCTCACTTAACTAAGCACCAAAATCATGTTATTTTGGAACTATAAGGGAACTAAATTATCTTCTACTCCAAATCCTTTGTTTTCCAGAGCAGAGAACTGAGGTAGAGTTATGTTTAGGGACTTGCCCAGGGAAATACAATGATTTATTTGTATTTTTTCTATACATCTATGCTGAAAAAAAAAAAAAAATATATATATATATATATATATATATATATATATTCTACATCTTCATGGAAGCCAGGGATTTCATATTATACCAGTGAGTCTAAACCTGACTACATGTAGGAATCACTTGGAGAGGTTTTGCACCACATAGATTCCCAGACCTTACCTCTGGGAATCACCTGTTCATTCAGAATCACCCAGGGTGGGAGGTGGGGGCAGGTATCAGTACCTTTAACCATAGGCTCAGATGATTCTGATGTTTAGGCAGGTTTGAGAGATAGTTTGTTCAGATTCTTCCTTCACTTCTCTGGTCCCCACAATCTTCGTTTTTCTCTCTAAAGTTATTCTCACATTCAGTCTTCACTCCCAGGTCTGAAATTGGTAAGCAAGACTGATGGAAAACTGTGGCCCTTTATTGAGAAACTGCCTTTGGTAGCATTGATGTCTTTTTGCCTTTTTCTTCTGTTGGACGAATATTAGCTCCCAGGCCAGCACTGCCACTGAGGTGTGTGTTCTAAGTTCTGGGAGGTTAAGGTCTGTATTGAGCTTCTCTGTTCTCTTATGTCTCAGCAGGCTTAGGTTAGGAAAATGTTAGTTTTATGGTAGATGTTACTTATAGAACAGGCTCTACAGAGAGTTCCAGGGACTGTAGATGCTCGCATACCCATTTCTTCTTCTTTTTTTAAATTTTATTGTTATGTCAATCACCATACGTTACATCATTAGTTTTTCATGTAGTTCTTTTTGGACTGTGGACATCCCACCATCATGCCATGCCTGTTTCAGATGCCATCTTCCACCTGAAGGTATTTATGATGCTCTCAACAAGATTTTCCTCCTCTGACTCCCTTGTGGTTCATTATTTGGCATCATCATCTGGCCTTGAACTAGCTTTCCTTATCCCATGGGGTTTTCATTGCTATTGCTTTTGTCATTTTTGAGACATATTGCTCTTCATATCTGGATATATTGTAAAGTCCTGCTCCCATCTCTTGATTCCGTGTATCAGCCTCTACTTCCAGTCTGTTTTCGTTGGCATGTGCAATGTGTCCTACAAAAGGGTTCATTAAAAAAAAAAAATGCTTCCATGTTATATTAGCATATTCTCTCCCCTAAAAGAGCTGCTTTTTTCCTCCCACCACCAGTGTTAGATTATAAATGTCTTTAAGCAAGGTATTTCATCTTGTTCACTTTTGTATGCACTAAGGGCACAGCTCAGTGTTTTGTGTTTGTATTTGTTGAATTCGATTGGCTTGTGTTGCAATAAACCCTAATCTAGGTCTTCTGTATAACTGTATAACATGCTTTTGTTTATTGTATTTCATTCCAAGTGTTATGGTGTTTAAGGTGGGTGAGAGAGCAGAAAGCTTTGGATTATGTTATGCTTTTTCACTGTGGGAAGAAGTATGCAAACCTTCCCCAGTTCTTCTTCACTATTGTTAGAGATGGCATTTTCAAAATGATAATATTCTTTTTTTTTTTAAAGCATTTTTAAAAAGATTTATTTATTTATTTGAAAGAGAAAGAGTGTGCGCATGCAGGAGCATGAGTGGGAGGGAGGGGCAGAGGGAGGGAGAGGATCCACAAGCAGACTCCCCGCTGAGCGGGAAGGCCCCTGTGGTGCTTGATCCCAGGACCCTGAGACCATGACCTGAACTGAAACCAAGAATCAGCTGCTCAGCTGACTGAGCCACCCAGGTGCCCCTAAAATGATAGTATTATTAACGTAAACAGTTACTACTTGATTGCACAAAACACCCAATGTGTTTGGCTGATCTAAAAATTGTAACCAGTTCAATGCCTTCACAGAACAATGAAGACTAGCATCTGATACATGAACAGATGATATTTGAACCTTATCAGGTTTTCTTATAGGCATAATTTATTCTAATGTATTCCCCTTTTAAGCCTCCTTGTCTCCTTTTAAAATTAAACTCTACCCATTTTATGTTTACTGCAGCATTTTTTAGAAGAATAAAGTCCTAGAAATAGTCAAAATGTCCAGTAGTAGGTTTGCTAAAAAATATTATGGCAAAGCCTAACTTTCTAAATCATATGTTGGAAGGATAAGACACTGAAAGAAGCTGACAACATTTTTTTTTTTTTGCTAACAAATATTTTTTAAGTAAAAAAATCAACCAACCAAACAAACAAAAAAATAGTTCACAGAACAGTATCTGCATTTTGATTCTGATTTTTTTTACATATGGCTTTTTTCTATTTCCTGTATA